GACCCTAAGGGTATCCAAAATGTAAAAAAGTCTTGGAGAGGTGGCAATCATTAGTGAGATAGGAAAGGAAGAAAACAGGTGGGTGTACAAACTTAATATGTTAGAACCTTTGGTCTAAATATTGAGTTTGATCTGTTTAATTTCCTATAATTTTTTAAAAATGTATTTCTATGCATTTTTTATCTTTTATCTCTATGTATTTTATAGTAAATATATTTACAGGTTTAATTTTCATGTGAGGTTCAATTAAATTGTGGGTGTCATTGAATGTGTAATTATTTCTGATGACTTAAAGGTAGGCAGACAATGTAATAGAGCAGCATGAAATGCTAGCAGAATGCTTGGTTGTATAGGGAGAGGTATTAGCAGTAGAAAGAGGGAAGTGCTCATACCATTGTACTAACAATGAAAGAACACTGGTGAGACCTCACTTGGAGTATTGTATGCAGTACTGGAGATCGTATCTCCAGAAGGATATTGATACTTGAGAGAGAGTTCAGAGAAGGGCTACTAAACTGGTTCATGGATTGCAGCATACAACTCACAAGGAAAGGTTAGAGGAACTTAACATGTATAGCTTGGAGGAAAGACGAGACAGGGGGGATATGACAGAAACATTTAAATACATAAAGGGAATCAACACAGTAAAGGAGGAGACTATATTTGAAAGAAGAAAAACTACCACAACAAGAGGACACAGTCTTACATTAGAGGGCCAAATGTTTAAAAATAATATCAGGAAGTATTGCTTTACTGAGAGGGTAGTGGAGGCATGGAATAGCCTTCCAGCTGGAGTGATAGAGGTTAACACAGTAAAGGAGTTTGAGCATGCGTGGGATAGGCATAAGGCTATCCTAGCTATAAGATAAGGCCAGGGACTAATGAAAATATTTAGAAATTTGAGAACACTAGATGGGTCGAATGTTCTTATCTGCCGTCACATTCTATGTTTCTATGTTTTTTTCAATTTGACAATTTTTATTTTGTCATAAAAAATGCAATTGGGGGTACAGAAAGGAAAAAGGGAGGGGAAATGACAGTGGAACATACATCCTTCATCGACTTTTCTATCCAGTATCTCATAGTTATGATAAGAACACATTGTTATTTATACAGAGTTTGCGCTATCAGTTGCAACCGTCTATATTTGTGTACCTGTGTGGCTCATGATTGGATAGAGTTTCCCTTAGTCTGGCCTTAGAAGGCTAGGATATGTAGTTGGGGGATGTAGCATGGAAAGGAAGGGGGGGTGAATTCCGTCTTCCGCCAGTTCTTTGCAGGGGAGTCAAAGGGTTCCTACTTTGAGCGTTATTCCCTGGTTTTGCGTTATGGTGAGTGCCTTTCTTTCGGTGGGTGGGCCTCGTAGAGGTTGGCTAGTGTTTGTGCCATCTCTTATAATTAGTGTTATGAGTGTTATTCGTTACGATATGTTTACGTTATTCTCAAGTCGGGTGTTTCAGCTCCCAACTTTCCCATACCTCATGTCTCCAACTTTTGTTGGGTGGCATACGGGATATACTTGATTCATATTTTCCCAATTTGGGATAGGTGTCTGATCAGTTCTCGCATTGTTGCATTGGTGGGTGATAGACAATTTTTTGCGATAAAGTTTTGGGCCGCTACCAGTACGTGAAGTATTAGGTATTTAATCGGTTTTGGGTAGTCGGCTTCCAGCATGAGTAAGAGCAGAGATGTCGGGGAGTTCAGTATCATGATGGAGGTGTGTTGGTGTATTAATAAGATAACCTCTTTCCAGTATGGTTGGAGTTTCGTACATTTCCACCAGGTGTGTAGGAATGTGCCTGTCTCTTTTTTGCAGCGCCAGCAAATGCTGGACAGCTGCGGTTCCATGTTGGCTAGGCGTGTTGAGACCATGTACCAGCGGTAGAAAATTTTACGAGTGATCTCTAAGTGTGAAGCGCAAAACGTCAGGCCTCTGGTTGCATTTACTGCGGTCAACCAGGTCTGCTCTGACAGTGTTTGATCTGGGTCTTTTTCCCAGGAGCGTACGCAAGTAAGGGATTTAATTCCTTGTTGGGGCAGTAGTAGCCTATATATGGTGGAGATGGGCTTTTTCGCTGGTGTATCTGCCATTATACTTTTTTCTAAGGGCGTTAGAACAGTGGTAGTGGGCGGTATAGGATGTGGTACATGGGCTTTCCACCAGGAAGTCAGCTGGAGGTATGAGTGGTGTGCCGTGTTTGGCAGTATGTAATTGGTTTTCAATTGGTCAAATGTGGCTAGCTTGCCCTTTTCTAATAGGGAATGTATATAGAACACCCCGCATCTGTTCCATGCTCTGTAGTTGAAGTCAGGTATCGTTTGCGCCAGGGTCTTAATTGGGGTTGAGAAGGGGTGGCAGCTGCACAGGAGTTTACGGGTGTCATCCCAGATCTTTAGTGTCGTTAAGGTGGCGGGAAGTGCATTTGTGGTGTTTCCCCTTTGATGGGGTAGCATCCATACTTTTGT